TCTTCCATCATCTCTGTCCTTCGCTCACGGTCGAATCTCTCTCCCTGAGCTTCTGTCTGCCTCCCTCTTCTGCTCTTAAGGACCCTGTGATTACATTGGGGCCATGGGATGAGGAAGGTCCATTCTCTTACTCCCCAGGGAGTTTCGGGCCCAGCAGGGCGGCACCCGGAAGCATGCAGCTCCCCCACCCGGAAGCTCTCCCAGCCCCTCCTCTTGGGTTTGCACGGAGGCTTGCTGACCGAGGCAGGACCATGGGTGACCGATTCACCTGCCCCTCTCCTTCCTGGAGCTCGGGGGGTGGGACTAAAGGTTCCACCCCTGCTCATGGTTTACCTGGCAGCCACCCCCATCTGGTGGGGTTTCCACACTCACCTCCCTCTCTGAGGTGATTTCAGGAACTGAGGACAAGAGACCAAATATATATATTTAAAATATATATTTATTGATTTCAGAGAGAAAGGGAGGAGAGAGAGAGAGAGAGAGAGAGGGAGGAGAGAGAGAGAGAGAGAGAAACATCAATGATGAGAGAGAATCATGGATCGGCTGCCTCCTGCACGCCCCCTCCTGGGGATCGAGCCCGCAGCCCGGGCATGTGCCCTGACCAGGAATCGGACCGTGACCTCCTGGTTCGTAGGTCGATGCTCAGCCACTGAGCCACACCCTGGTGAGACCAAATGTTATAACAAAAGGTGCCCTGATTGTGCTTCTCTCTCAGGAAGCCCCAAGGGTTTGGGCAGCCGTGAGCCAGGAACCACGGACAAAGACCAAACATCTATTTCTTATCACAACCGTCATTTCTCTAGACACGCCGTGTGGGTGATATTTCTGCTGGACTCTTCGTGGAGAAACCTCTGTGGCCCAGTGAGTGTGAGAGCCTCCGGCCAGGTCCTTCCTTCGTAAAGGCTCTGAGAAGTCGTGCAGGGCAAGCCCGTTTGATTTTGTTCAGTACAACATTTTTCAAGAAGCATGAATTTTTTTTCCCTCTTTTAATCCCCATTAATACCCTGCAGACCTCGATTCCCAGGAACTTGCTCTGGGAAACCCTGGCGTGGCCCCGCACAGGGCCGTGGGGACAAGCTGCTCCCGCCTCCTGATCGAAGGTCAGGACACCAGTCATGCCACTTGAGATCTGATTAGAGAAAGCATTTTGGCTTCATTAAGGTTCATTAAATGAGCCATCCAGTGCCATTTAGCTGAATAAAAACGGCTCAAATGGCTTTAGCCCCCCCACCCCCTTTTAGAGCAATTTAATTGAGGAAAAGCAAATATGTCAGTGATGCAGACAAATATCTCTTGGCCTTCGAGGGGAACATCACCGGCTCTGGGTTTTCGGGGGCCGGCAGCAGGCCTTGGTGACGAGATGGTGTGGTGCTTGCCTCTTCCTTCCACTTCCCCCTGAGGAGTGGGTGGCGGTGAGGCTGACCGCGCGGGAAGTCACAAGGTCAAGGCTGAGGAGGTCTCAGGTCCCCGCTCATGGAGACGCGGGCGGCATCTGTCAGCCTCCTCCTTCTCCCCCGGGTTGTTCCTTCCACACGCTCTCTGTGGGGTTGGGACTGCCCCGTGGGTTGGTGGGGGTGGGGGGGGTGGTGTCCTCCTTCCCTGACCTTTCCTCCAGGGTCTTCAGCAATTTCAGAAGAACCCACCCGACATGGAGGGGCAGGGGGCTGCTTCTTCCAGGGGGGGATGAGAAGAAGACCGACAGACAGCTGAGGGGCTGGTGGGTCTCAAGGGAAGGAGAATGGCACCTTTCCAAGGACTGCCTTCGTGGGTGAAGGAAATGAGGTTTATATCATGTGCTTGCAGCCTGTGAGCCTTGCTGGTGCCTGGCCAGCTGTGCTTGGCGCTCTGAGCCCACACTGCACTCAGAAAAGGGTCTTTTGTAAGAGCAGAGAGATCCCCACAGAGGTCAGGGACCGTGGCATTCGCCTCTGAGGCAAGCGGAACAGACCGCAGGTTCTGGTCTCTCTGTTAATAGGAGGAGACTGGTGTGCCCGGGGAAGCTGACCGAGTGGACAGAGAGCAGATGGGGGCTCAGGGGCTGGAAGCTAGAGTGACCGGGCGCAGACGGAGGGAGGGAGGGACAGACTCCTGACATGGAAGCTTTCAGGGGTCGCAGCTGGACAGTCAACTTGGAGTCGATGCTGCGGGGGCTTCTCCGTCTGCCCAAGGGCTGGAGGCACCGGAAGCCGCGGTCCTGGGTGAGCAGCACGCGCCGCGGTGTCCCCGCCCCGCCCTCTCTAACTTGTACGATAATGCGATTCCTTATTCTTTATTTGCCCGGAATGCCTGTTATTTTAGTTCTTTCAGAATCCAATTTTCTCGTGACATTTCTGCCTATCGTAGCAAAGCATGACCTTTGCCAGGGGACATTGCCGGCCGCCTGCGCCTGCCTCGGCCCCGACGGTCCTCCCGCCCCACCTGGACCTCTCGGGTCTCGCCCCCTCACCCCCTCCCGGCTTCTGTTCCCAGGGCTCAGCGATCCGATCCGGTTCCAGTGCTGAGGGCTTGGTTCAGGGCGCGCTGGGGTGGGGTGGACAGTGCGGGGGGCTGGCCTTGTCCGACATGTGCTGCCACCCACGCTGCTGTGGGTGGACAGCCAACCAGGGAAAGACTTGCCCTGGTGAATCCCTCACATGTACTGGGACATCACAGGGGCTAGTGGTGATCAAAGGCTGATACTGAGCTTGTTGCCCTTGACCAAGTGGTCCCTGCCCTTCTCCGCCGGCCCCTGCACCCTCGGCACAGGGGCTCCCTCCCCATCAGCCACGGGCTGTCCCCAAAGACAGGGCTGCCTCAGGGGAAGGGCCAGCCCTGCCCTCAGGCTGACCTGTGTTTGGACTCCTGCTCCTGGGTGAGCTGTGGTGCTCGGGGTCTCACCAGCCTCCACGTCTCCCACGGCGATCGGATGCTCCCCTTGGCTGCCCCGCGGGCACCTCAGCATTTGCCAGGGGGGCTCTCAGTCCCCCCAGGCGTGACCCTGGCAGCTTTTCTCATGTCACTGATGCCGCCACTGCTTGCTGGGCTGCTCAGGTCCTTCTCCTTCTCTGCCAGTTCCAACCCAGTAGGAAGTCCTGGCGGCTCCACCCCCAGCACCTCGACTCCATCCCCTGGTGACCTGTGCTCCCTCTCCTGCCTGCAGCAGCGCAGCCGCCTCCTGAATGCGCCCAGTGTTGTCCTTGGTTCTTAGAAACGCCCATCAGATCCTGCCCTGCCCTACAGAACCCCCGGCTCCTTAAAATACAGCCCAACTCCCTGCCATGCCAGCAAGGGGGTGCAGCACGCCCCCCTCCTCCTCGCCCCAGACCGCTCTCCTCTCTACCCAGGCCCCGCTCAGGCCTTGGCCCACGCTCCCTCCACTTCCTGGAGCACTGCTCCCTGGCACGGCCCCTTCCCCCTCCTCTCCTCCAGCTCCCCTGTGACCCACAGAGGCCACTGCGCTGGCCCGCGCCCAGCTGCCAGCGCCCTCTCCCGCCCAATTCCTGGCCTCGCTGGGTCTGTCCCCGGCCTCCGCTCAGCACAGCTGCAGTTCTGGTGGCTCCTCATTCTTGACTCCAGAGCAAGTTCCCGAGGGGCCCTATCAGCCGTCCACCCCCGCATTCCTCAGGGAAGCCTATATTTGTCTCTACGCAAATATTTGTGGGAGAAGCCCTCTAAATATAGACGCACCTGTGAGCGTACACGCATACGGGTGTGTGTGTGTGTGTGTGTGTGTGTGTGTAAGCAGGTCTCTGTTTGCATCTATTACCACACGTCTAATAGACACAAACACACACATTGTGTGTGCGCATCCACGCGCGTGCAGGTGTTCACCTGAGTGCGTCCTGACCCGTCACCAGATGAGAGCAGTGCTCCCGGGGCCGCTTCAGCTCCAGCAGTGCAGAATGGCTGCCTCTACAGCCGGGATCACATCCCAGGGCGTTTGTTGGGCCTGGCAGATAATAGCGGTGGGTGTCGCTTCTTTTATTCGAAGACGGATGGCTGCTCCTTCCCCCTGTACATCCTAATGAGGACAATTAAGTAGCCATTAGGGGGAGAAAAGAAGTGTGAACAAAGGCTGATGTCTGGATCAGTGAGGGGCGTCTCCGCCGGGAGGGACTGGCTAGCGGGAGGCAGGCGCTGTGCGCAGTTTCCTCGGCGTGTTCAGAGGGTTGGGGGTGAAAGGTTCGGAGTTCCCGTTGTGAGAAGTCCTAGGGACCTATAGCACAGCGCCCTGCACGGTTAGCGTGCTGTATTATATGTGCCAGGATCTGTTAGGAGGGTACAGCTCATGCTAAATGTTCGCATCACAAAAAGAGAGGGGGCCCTGGCCGGTGGATAGAGCATCGGCCTGTGGACTGGAGGGTCCCGGGTTTGATTCCGGTCAAGGGCATGTGCTTTGGTTGCAGGCTCCATCCCCTGGTCAGGGTACGGAAGGCAACCAATCGATGTATCTCTCTCACATTGATGTTTCTCTTTCTCTGTCTCTCCCCCTCCCTTCCACTCTCTCTCTCTCTCAAAAAAAAAAGGGGGGGGGAAGGAAACTGTTAATTAGAGGTGATAGATAGTTCAGTGTATGGCATTGTGGATGGTGATGGTTTCATGGAGTGTACTCACCTTCAAACTCAAAGCGTCGGCCTGCGGACTGAAGGGTCCTGGGTTCAATTCCCGGTCAAGAGCACATGCCCGGGTTGCGGGCTCGATCCCCAGGAGGAGGCGTGCAGGAGGCAGCCGATCCATGATTCTCTCTCATCATTCATGTTTCTATCTCTCTCTCTCTCTATTCCTCTCTGAAATCAATAAAATATATTTTTTTAAAAAGAGAAAAATTTTTACTTGTGGAACTTAGCCCTTTGAAAGGCTTCAGAATCCCCTCCAAACCTGGCCTATGGCCTGGACTAGTGGCAGGCAGATGGATCGCAGGATGAGGCAAAGGAGGAGAACGATCAGGCCGGGCTCCCATGCAGTGGCCATGCCTGCCCCCAGAGCACCATTAATTCCCCCTTTTTCTGTCTCTCCTGCAGAAACCTGTCGAGTAACCGGCTCACCACACTCTCATGGCAGCTTTTCCAGACGCTGAGTCTTCGGGAATTGTAAGTCCGGTGTTGGAGACCGCCCAGCCTGGCGGAGTGGTGGTGGAGGTTGGGTGGGGAGTGTCGAGCAGCGGAGCCACCCGGGCTGGGCGTCACCTGAAGGGGCTGCTGGGGTTGGTGACGTGGGGTGTACCATGTTCAGTGAGAGGCCGCCAGCCCGTCGCTTGATTTCGGATGCTCTTTCCAGCACCTCACAGTTCCTAAGACAGGAATCTCGCTCTCAGCAGGACCCAGTTTTGTCATCGCTAGGTGATCAGTGCTAACGGCATGGATGTTTGTAGGAGGAAAGGGCATTGATCAGTTTATGGTAAATAACACGGATACTGTCGAACCTTGCAGTGGATCAGGCGTGCTTTTGTTTCCCGGACCTTAGCTTTACCGCCACAAGCATCCTGGGCGGCAGGCGGCATGCTGCTTCCTTATGCAGTGGGCCGCTACACGTTCAGGTGCGGGTTCTGAGCCCAGAGAGTCATAGGAGACGCAGCCAGATCACACAGCGAGGGCCAGGCAGAGCCGGGCCCTGAACCCGGGCCTCTGACCTCCGTTTGCTCGTCTTTCCCGCCTCCCATTCTCTGCCAGCCTGTCTGGCTTGAGCGTGGGCATCGGTCCGCCTGTGGCCTGCTTAGCTTTGCTGCATTTCTAGGCGGTTCAGTGCCCCCCTTCCCTGGCCAAACACATGTTGGGTGGATGAGTGGAAATTTGTGAGCGCTGCCGAACCAAACAGCTCCTGTTGGTGCGTGAGTCATCAGGGCATCTCTGCCCGAGGGACAGCGTGTGATGTCGAGGGAATCAACCAGGAAATTCATTGCGAAGGAGCTGGGGAGCATGAACTTAGGGAGTCAGGGTTCCAGAGACAGCTCGTGCTCCCTGTGGCTCGTGACTCGGGCCCAGGTCCCTGCATGCAGACTGCCTCTCTGCCTTCACCACAGGCAGTGGCTGGGAGCCTGCCACGCGGTGGCCTTTAGCACGTGTCCTTCCAGCTGGTCCGGCCCGAATTCTGTTTCTGACCCAGCGCTGGGGAGGGGAATGCTTCCATCCAGCGTCCCAGCAGCCCATCACCCTCTGGCCTTGTCTACCCTGCTCACCCCCATGGGCATCGTGCCCTCGAGGCTTAAGGCCCTGCCAGGGCCGGGCAGGGCACGGACCGTCTCATTGCCCGTGTCGGAGAGTTCGGGCAGTCCTGCTGCGGGTTGCTTTCCTTTCTCAGGACTTTGCCCTCCCACCGGCTGCTCCTCTTGTGTGGGCACAGTAGGCAAGGGGATCAGGGTTCCTTAGTCCCGTGGGGCTGTGGCCAGGGGCACACCAGTAAGAACTCCTACCCGAGCTCGTAACAAGGTAAGTGCATACGTATTTGTGTATAAAGCACGGAAACGCTAGACGGTCACAGACATCTGACTGTCAGGTGGTTACACGCGAGTGTTGTCTGCGTTTCCATCTTTGAAGGTAGAAAAGCCCTCAGAGGTAACTCAACAGGCGGTGCCGTTGCTAACGCTGTTTCTCAGGACCCACTCTGGGCAGGCACTGGGCCAGCCAGTCTATCGAGTGTTGGGCGGTACTTGCTTCAGTCCTTACAGAAATTCTACAGGGAGGAATTATTACTGTCATTCACACTGGGAACACTGAGGTACTTAGGTTAAGTATCTTGTGTAAGGTCACCCATTAACTCAGTGGGTAGCCTGTGGACTCAAGCTCTTGACCATTGTGCTCAGCTATCTCCCAACTTCTTTAAAAATTGCATTTATTGGGGTGACATTGGCTAATAAAATTATATAGGTTTCAGGGGTACAATTCTATAACACGTCATCCGTACAGTGTATTGTGTGCTCACCACCCCAAGTCAGGTCTCCTTCCATCATCATCATCTGTCCACCCTTTATCCTCTTCTACCTCCCCCCGCCTTTCCCAGTGTTTTCCGTCTGTTTCCAATCCAAGGATCTGTTCTACGATAATTTTCAAAGAATGAATGATGGCACTTTTTCCATATGTAGCCCTAGGAGTGATCAGGGGCCCTGACATAAGTGAGCTAATTGGGGGCTCTCTTTTTTGGGGGAGTCTTGCATCAAGTTACCCTGGAGTGCCTGAGCCCAGCACCTGTGGGCGGCCAGGGACAGATGTTCTCTCCTGGGATCACCTGGGGCCTGCAGTTGCCTACACTATTGAGAAAACGTTCAGAAAAATCAATGGATGAGAAATCCGTGGCGTGCTGTCCTGGCGACCAGTTCTGTGGAGTTTTAGAGACAGTTGTTCGAGGATATATATTTAAAGCCAATGCCAGGCTCCTCCCAGAGGATCATGGGATTCTGCATTCATCTCTGCCCGGGATCGATTCACCGTGCGCTGCATGTGACTTATGGAGGAATGAAGACATTCGTCCGCGCGAGTCAGTGCGTGAGCCCCTGTCCACGGAGCATTTCATCCTGTCGCCTGTTAAATAGGAAAAGAATTCACTTGTAAGAGAAAGAAGCCCCTCTGAGGAGCCATCGCCCTGGCGGGGGTCTATTTTTTGAGGAAGAATTGAGTGGCCAGAGTGGAAAATTTATCTTTTGGCCGGAGGGGCCGCGTGTTGGCTCTTGGCTGTGGCTATGATTAAAATCCAAACAATCTCAGTTCCTGGCCCGCGGGAGAGGGGGCAGTGTTTTCTTGTCCGACGTCCTGATTAGTCCACATGGCGCCATCTGCCAGGAGCCGTCAGGCTGCCAGGGTCTGCCCGTGGGCCTGTGGGCCTGTGGGCCTGTGGGCAGGGTGCGGGGTGGGCCGGCTCTTTGCAGGAAGTTAGAATTTCGTCCCGGAGGAGAGGCCGGAGGAGATGGCTCTGTGCGCTGTGGCAGCCAGAAGGGTGAGGCCGAGGCTTAAGTGACCTTCTGCAGGCACCGAGGGCAAACTAGGGCATTCAGCCATTTCTTGCTTTTTAAAAATATCTTTTTATTGAATTCAGAGAGGAAGGGAGAGGGAGAGAGAGATAGAAACATCAATGATGAGAGAATCTTGGATCGGCTGCCTCCTGCACGCCCTCTATTGGGGATGGAGCCCGTAACCCGGGCATGCGCCCTGACCGGGAATGGAACCCTGACCTCCTGGTTCATGGGGTGATGTTCAGCCACTGAGCCACACCGGCCAGGCCCTTTCTCAGTTACTTTTGCACGAGATGGAGGCTGTGGTCTTGGCCCTGCCCCTGGCCCAGGTTGTGTCTCTCTCGCTGAGAGGACTGGCAGCGTCTTCAGAGTTGTCAGCACTGTTCCAGGGCCTGGCTTTGAGGAGATGCGAGTTGGCGTTGCTCAGTGCTCTCAGAAGTTTCTGGTTAAGGCAAGATGGTGTTTTTTCTTACAGGGAAGACTGGAACTGCCTGGCAGAAATCAGAGCAAGAATCCGAGATTATCTTAGAGATAATGAATTGGCAAGGGAGAAGCTTGGATTCTGTGTCCCATGCTGTAATTTAGGCAAGAGGCACGGAGGATAGAAACTGACGGCACAGAACCCTCCAGAAATACCCCGGGGACCGTTCCCTTCATGCCCTGCACACACGGCAGGCGGGATTCAAATAGATTGGAATACTTCATTTTCTTAAAGCAAAGTGATCGTTACTCCTGCTACAATTTGCAGATTTAATCGACTTGGTGAAGGGTTAGCTCAGTATCGGGAATGGGGTTGAGCTATCCTGGCGCTATCCTTTCCCAGTCCTGGCCCTGACCACTCCCCATGGATCTCCGAGAAGTCACTGAGCCGTCATGTTCATAATAGTGCAATCATCATCATCGTCATCTCGGCCTCTTCACAGCCCCTGGTCATTCACAAAGCACGTGAGCACACGTCACTAACCCTCACGATAACTGTGTGAAGAAGGAAGGCCGAGCGCAGTTGCCCCCATTTTACAGATGGGAAAACAGAGCCTTGAGAATTAAGGTCCCGGCTGTATTGCTTTCCCAGCGCTGCCGTCCAGTCTCACCACTAATCTGGGGGCTTAAATAAACAGAAACTGCTTCTCTCACTGCTCTGGAGGCCAGAGTCCAAAATCAGGACTCAGCCGGGCACGCTCCCCAGAGGCTCACGGGAGCTCATCTTTCCTGCCGTTTCCAGCCTCCCGGCTCGTGGGTCCTTGGGTTGGAGCACCGGCGTCCGTCTTCTCACGCTGTCCGTGCATCCTTCCCATGTCCTCGTCTTTGGTCTCTCTCCCCACTTTCCCTTATAAAGATGCCCGTCATTGGATTTAGGGTCCACCCTCCATCCAGAGTGACCTCATCCCACGATCCTTGACGTGATTACGCCCGTGAAGACCGTGTTTCTAACACAGGCTACCTTCACGGGCGCTGGGGATGGGACTCGGCGTGTCCTCTGGTCCGGGGGCACTGGTCAATGCATGCTGGCTCCACCCAGGTCTTCTGGGTGCTTTTCCTGCCACGGGACTGTGTTGTCAGGAGGCCCTTGGCCTTTTGGGCATGCGCTCCTCTGTGACAGCAGACCTGGTCCCTTCCTCAGTTTCCACGTCCTGGCCCTGGCCTAAGGGCTGCCCCCGGCAGCCATGCTGTGGGGGAGGGGAAACCAGAGATGACTGCTGAGCATCCAGGCTTCCTTAACACCCAGACTTGGCCGAGGCCCCCAGCAGGGTGTCTGGCGCACATGCCCCAGGGGGCCGAGCGAATCTGTGGGAGCCCCCAGGGCCCTGCCATTAGTCCCGCCATCTGGGGGCAGGGCTGGGTGTGGGCCATCTGCATTATTGATGAGAGGGAGGGCCGCCCTGGAGGGTCCCTGTCTGTCCCTGCTGCCTGGCTGAGCTCCTGGCTGGGGCCCCGGTCTCCTGGGCCTGCCCTGCTCTGCCCTCAGGATTGCTCAGGGGAGGCCATTGCTGACACCACATGCTTTCTGCTGCGTGTGCCTCGCTGTCTGGGAGGAAAGTGCGGACAGTTCCCAGGAGGCTCCGGGGCAGAGGCAAGGACGGGCCTCATGTGCGATCCTCCTGCTGGATCAGGTCCTGGAGGAAAGAGTGGAAGGAAACGAAGGTGCTGTTCGTGGACCGTGCTGGCCTGTCTTAGACACAGACCGCTCACCTACCTCCCCCCGCCCTCGGAGGAGCCGGCCGCCCTGGCTCAGGAGCCCCCTCCCCTCTCCTTGCCCACAGGAGGTTGGAGCAGAACTTCTTCAACTGCAGCTGTGACATCCGCTGGATGCAGCTGTGGCAGGAGCAGGGGGAGGCCAAGCTGAACAGCCAGCACCTCTACTGCATCAGCGCCGAGGGCTCCCAGCTGCCCCTGTTCCGCATGAACATCAGCCAGTGTGGTGAGTGCGCTGCCCGCTGCCCGCTGCCCACTCCAGAGAGGGCACCCCCTCCCCTCCGCCCTCCCCGCCTTGAACTGGGCCCTGGCGCAGATCCGGCTCATCTCTCCCCTCCTGGGCATCCCTGTCCCCTCCTGAGCCGCCCCGCGGAGGCTGGCAGAGGGGTTCAGTGCGCCCCTTCTCATCAGACCCCAGTACCTCCTGCCTGGGAGTCACTTGCCAGCCAGACCTGAGCACGTGTCTCCTCGCAGTGTGGCCCCGGACCTTTTGTATCAGGAGCGTCTCAGGTGCTTCTAGAAAAGCGGGTGCCTGGGCCCAAGCACAGACCGCGACCTCAGGATGCCTGGGGTGGTCCCCAGGGTCTCAGAGCTCATTTGGGGGGACCAGCTCCCCAGGTGGAGCTGTCACCTGACTTCTGGCTGGAGCTGCCTCCCCGTCCGTGCCGTGTGGGGGAGTCCCACCACAGCGGCTTTAGGTCCGAGGGTGGTGTCCGCGAGGGAGGGGGTGTCAGGCCTCCGAGAGCTCCGGCGGGTGATGTGGCGTCACTGTTGGGGGCCGCGTTTTGGGAGTCAGTGTCTGCCCGTCCTCTCCGCCCTGTCCGCCCTCCAGACATCCCGGAGATCAGTGTGAGCCACGTGAACCTGACCGTGCGGGAGGGCGACAACGCTGTCATCACGTGCAATGGCTCTGGCTCGCCCCTGCCCGATGTGGATTGGATGGTCACCGGGCTGCAGTCCATCAACACCCACCAGGTAGGCACCTGGGCCTGGGCTGCACCAGGAGGCTGGGCCCCACCACCTCTTAGTCTGAATGAGGCGCAAGAATCCAAGCCAGAGACGGGAAGTGAGGGAAGAAGAGGGACAGTCGTGGTCCCGTCTCTCCAGGAGGGACACGGAGACGTGCTCTTAGACGTGCTATGAAACTGCTAAGCACCTTAGTTTGCGCACCTGTAAAATGGGTACAGTGCTGCCATGCACCTCAGCGGGTACATGGGAGGCTGAGCGATCCCTTGACTGGAGAGAGCCCAGCCCTCGGTCAGTGCCCGTTCGCCGGATGAGCCTCCTTTACCTTCCACTCAGTTTTTCCTTTTTTTAAAAAATACGTTTTTATTGATTTTTAGAGAAAAAGGATGGGAGAGGCACAGAAACATTGATGTGAGAGAGACATGGATTGCCTGCCTCCTGCACGCCCCCTACTGGGGATGGAGCCCGCAATCCGGGCATTGAATGCCCTGACCTGGAATCGAACTGTGACCTCCTGGCTCATAGGTCATTGCTCAACCACTGAGCCACACTGGCCAGGCTTAGCTTTTCCTTTTGATTCCAGAAGCTGTTGGGGGTGAGGTGGGGGAGCTGCCCTTGTGGAAATGGTCTGATTGCCGTCTTTTTACCGCCATTTTAGACAAACCTGAACTGGACCAACGTGCACGCCATCAACCTGACGCTGGTCAACGTGACGAGCGAGGACAACGGCTTCTCCCTGACGTGCATCGCAGAGAACGTGGTGGGCATGAGCAACGCCAGCGTCGCCCTCACCGTCCACTGTGAGTGGACGCCATGGAGGGGGTGGCCGTGGGCACGCCGGGCAGGAGGCTGGTCAGCCAGGAGGGGCAGGTCGGTCCTGGGCTAGTGACCCCAGGAAGGGGTGTCCCTGCCTCTCGGATGACGGTGCCTCCCACTCAGCTGTGCCTTCACGACTCCTGGTTTGACCCGTCGGCCTAAAGGGTCGTGAGAGGGAGCCCTCCAGCCCTGGCTGATCAGGGTGCTCGGGTTGAGACAGACATCTCTTCCGCTCTGTTGGGGGGTGCCCGGGGGGCACCTCGGATTCCCTCAGTCTGTTCCGAGCGGGGTGGGGGTGGGAAATGGGATTCCCCATGCCAAGCTCCTGGGGAGCTCTGTGTCCTGGCACCAGCTGGCCTCTCCCCCGGCAGACCCTCCCGCGTGTGGTGAGCCTGGAGGAGCCCGAACTGCGCCTGGAGCACTGCATCGAGTTCATGGTGCGCGGCAACCCGCCGCCAACCCTGCACTGGCTGCACAACGGGCAGCCCCTGCGCGAGTCCAAGATCATCCGCGTGGAGTTCTACCAGGAGGGCGAGGTGTCCGAGGGCTGCCTGCTCTTCAACAAGCCCACCCACTACAACAACGGCAACTACACCCTCATCGCCAAGAACCGCTGGGCACCGCCAACCAGACCATCAACGGCCACTTCCTCAAGGAGCCCTTCCCAGGTGAGGCCTGCGCTCTGGGGCGCCCTGAGTCCATCCCGGAGTTCCGGGGGGTGGGGGGAAAAAGGGGGAGGGGATGAACGGGGCATGGCGGCTGGAGAGGAAAGGCAGCATCCACAGTGATACTGTTACCATGGTAACCAAACATACACAGGAGCGTAGTCAGCCACCCCCAGCATTTTGTGTAAAATAGATGAAGTGTCTGGTTTCCAGTAGCTGTCGCTATTCAAACCACCACCCCTGAGAAGTACCCAGGTGGGCACAGGAGGGCATGGAATATTCTGGTGGAGAAAGCAGGGTCTTGAGGGTTGGACAAGAAGGGCAGAGGCTCTTGACCCAGCCGTCTCTTTGTCGGGAGACTCTGGGCACAGTCGTTTGCTTTTCGGAGCCTCGATTTCCCCATCTGTGAAATGGGCACGATTGCACTGCTCCCGTCATGATCTTGAAGCTTTTAAATGGCTTACGGTGTATAAAGCACACAGTGATGGTTCTCCGCTCTGCTCCGCGTGTAACGGGCGAGTGAGCCAACCTCCTTCTACTTGCTGGTTAGGGTCCAGGCTTCCAGGTCTGCGCGTGGCCCCCTCTCTCCTGCTCTGTGCTGAGCTGATGGGGGTGTCTGATGCTGTCACCTGGGATGTCGCCAATGTCACCTGCACCCGGGTCGTAACTGAAGTAATGAAAGAAAGACCTTTGGATATTTGGGAGGCGATTCTGTCTTTGTCTGGGCGAGAACATGCCAATTACCTTCCTGACGTGGGAGGAGGTCAGGGGAAGTGGTTGCGGCTTCTTCCTTTGGGTTCGGCAGCCGCTGCGTTTCTGTTAAGGAAGCCGTGTGTCTTTGACGGCCGTGGCGATTTGTGCCGGGAACATGCTGGGTGACCTCTGGGCCTCCAGTCCCCAGAAATCGTGGGTCTAATGAGATAAAGGGACGTATAAAGTCTGGCACCTCTCTCTCTGTCACGCATGCGCGCGCGCACACACACACACACACACACACACACACACAGGCAGGAGAGGCTGGCTCCGTGCGGCATCTGCTTGTGTGAAGGTGACTGAACAGCCACAGAGAACCAGGGAGCAGCGCCAGGCGGCCTCGTTTATCTTCGTGCAAAAAAAACACAACCCGACACACCTCGAACTAGACCTCCCAGAGGGAGCCTGGGGAGAAACCAGGCTGCGTGGGAAGCTGCCTTCTTGCCCCTGCCGTCCGGGGCATGACGGAGCCACAGCTCATCAGACTCGCTGATGTCTGAGACCCCAGTGACCCTGTTTGGTCCCCCGTTTCCAGCGTCACCCCCACTTGGCCCAGTCCCAGGCCTCGGGAACCTCGCAGATGACCATACCAGCTCTCTTTTGGGAGGCAGAGCGGTCCTGGCCCACACCATGGGGGTGGCCTTTGGATGCGCGGGGATGGGGCTCCCAGGGCCCCTTCGTACGGGCCGAGGTGCCCTGGTGACCTTATCCCCGCTCCCCAGGCCAGAGCTTCTCAGAGGGCGGGCCAGACCTGCTGGACCAGAAGCCCTGGGGCGGCCCGCAGTCTGTATCTAACAAGCCCCCAGGTGACTCGGACGCTCCCTGGTTTGTGACCTGCTGCGGGGCGTTTGGTGGACTCTGTCCCCAGGAGGCGAGGGAGGAGGGGGCACAGAGGAGCTCATCTGAAGTCCTTCCCCCGCCAGGGCCACCCTGTGCGAGGGTTTGCTTGTTTTATGCTCCTGGAGGAAGCGGTGGATGATGGAGAGGCAGTGACAGGGAAACGATGGGCCAGTCGTGCCAGTGACAGAGCGGCTAAGCGTTCAGGAGAGGAATTATCTAGGGGATCGGGCGGTGAGCTCACCCCTGCCGAGCCCTGGGTACAAAGGTCTGTGGGTGCCATGAGGGTGTGGGGACATAATGATCATGTGTGTCGTCCCCCTCGCTCCCCGCTCCAATCCCCCAGCTCCCCGGCAGGTCAGCACAGACGTTAAGAGCAGGGTTCTGAGCCCGGCTGGTGTGGCTCAGTGGTTGAACATCGACCTAGGAGCCAGGAGGTCACGACCTATTCGCAGTCAGGGCACATGCCCTGGTTGCGGGCTCGATCCCCAATAAGGGGCATGCGGGAGGCACCTGATCAGTGATTCTCTCTCATCATTGATGTTTCTTTCTTCCTCTCCCTTCCTCTCTGAAATCAGTAAAAATATATTCATTAAAAAAGAGCACCCCAGGCATCTGAAAGGGAATCTGTTTTGGGAGAAATAGCTCTGACAGTGGGGGTCCCTTTTGTTGACTGTTTATGAGCCCAAGACCCACGGAGGGGCGCCAGGAGGTCTCCCCAGTCCCGGGCGCATGTGCTTGGTGATACATGAGCGCTCCCAGGCTCCAGGCAGGGAGCTGAGCGTGCACGGTGATGACGGGAGGACGTGCCTGGTCCCCGGGAGGCTCCAGGCAAAGCAGTGGGGGCTCTGAGTGTGTTGGCACCTCTCCTCTCAGGCTCTGGAGCCAAGGCTGCCCCCCTCTCCTCCGTCCTCCCCCCACTTCAGGCCTTTGGTCACCTGCGGTTTAGAAGAGGGTGGTGGCATGCAGGGCACCCTCAGGAATTGGGACTCAGCTCTATAGCTCTCCCCCAGGCCCCACAGAATGACAACAGACGAGCAACCTGTGAACAGTGCGCGTAGGGCACGCAGGGCTTCCTCAGAAG